CAAGTAATAACAATAATTCAATTAAGACACTCCGCTTCACAGGTCTACTGAAACTGTATGAAGTATTCAACCATGTGCATACAAGAATAAACACTTGAATATTCATACAATTTAACATTAAGATGTGATATCACACTAATCACAGATCATCAAGATTCTACATTTTATAAGCTCTATCACAAAAACGTTTTCATTACAGACAATTCCTTTACAAGTCTCAACTGCTGATCTGATTTACAGTTAGACTTTAATAATTTGGGTTATACAATATAAATGCAATTGGTGTATAGTTCATTCGCCATTCTTACCACAAGTGAAAACCCACAAAATACATCCAACAGTGACCTAGAAGTAGTGATACAGAATATATGAATGCAGACCTTAAGTCATTTTTCAACAGATCATCAATATTTAAACTTCAGTTTTATCTAATTCTGGAAAATCTACTACAAAATTATAATAAATCCTTTATAATCTTTAGAAAAGGATAATCATCTAATTTCTAAAACTCAGATATTCAAAAATACTAACATACCTTCGATTAGAAGGCAAATGGGCATATTATTTTTTAATATGGACACAAATGTGAAATGTCGTATGTCCTAAACTGTGAAGTTTCCACTAACTTCAATGACTGGTAATATGGTTACTTTACAACACTGTATCAACTGCTTATAGCATCAGAGTTGGATAAGACAAAATAGAATGTGATCAACATAATTATACTATGGAAAGGATCTGTAATAAGTAACTGCCCATTTCAAGATATTATCTTTGCGTTTTCCTGGAAGGAGAAGGGAATCACGCCAACATCAATTAGGACATCAAGTTGCAAGTTGGGATTCAAACCATGCACAACCAAACCCACTCATTGAATGGTACATAACAAACTCCTTATGTGTTATAATATTGGTTTTAGCAAAGGACTTTGATCTCTGGGAAACCCAATACTTATATAACAAATGGCAATTTTATATCTTTGTTCAAAGGTCTCTTATAATTTGACTCTTAAAATTCAACCTTTCCACTTTATTTTAATACTGTCTTCTGAACTTCAGTCACTGCTACTTGAGCACAATCTACAGAACTCAATTGTAATGGGGCTTGCAACCATATCAGAATTAAACCCTTTCTTTGATATGGGCATCTCGTTATATTTATATTTTCTTTGGAAGTTTTAATGCCGTGTGAACTCATAGGTAAAATAACATTTTGGAGGAACATATAACCTCCTACTTCAAAATGTGTAGGCAGTATGTTCCTCCAAAATGTTGGTATCTACCTACAAGTCCAAGTGGCATTACAAGCCAGAAGACCAATATCAACAAATATGAATCACACTTTGATCTCATATTCAGATTTTTAGGGTACAATTTTTATTTTTATGAACATTTCAATTCATAGTACAAAAAAAAAGCATGAATGCCTCCTCATTCCATCAAGCTTAAAATCTGAAACAGACGTTTCATGGACAAGAAATAAAACACTGAAATAAACTACTCAGCCAAATCTCCATTTGCAATCTACCATGATGACAGGCCAAACTCAAAATCTCCTCGAAAAAAACAGCGACAAATGAAAAATTACAAAATACAAATATTGGGATGTCAAAAATTGCCCTTATAACTTTCACAATTTTCATTTGTACATGCTGCACCTTTTACCAAATTTCTTTAAATTCCATTGCACTCAGGAACATTTTATGATACTGCAATTTGCCCTTTATGCCAAAAAGATTGGACACCTAGATTATAGACGGAAAAAAGCAGAAATCTGGGTTGCATGTAGAAACAGAACATTAACAATAAGCAAGAAACGTACCAGGGGCAAAAAATTATCAAAAGTCCTGTGACACTATGCATTTGCTTGATTTTATTATCTGCCTAGGTGCCACATAAGCCCGGGGGAGGGAGAAAGCCAACAAAAAATCAAACAGAATGAAACATTATCTCATATCATCATGTTAGGCATAATGTATCCTGTGTCTTAATTTTTAACAATAAAAGCCACAGGTATTCTTACACCAATGCCAAGTACTGTTGTATGTAAATCCAAGTACCTGAGAGTGTATAAGGTCTGAATTCAAAATGTGTATGAATGTAACATAACTGCACAATGAATTCGGAGGCCATTTTGTAACAAAAATAAAGCATTTATGTATGACAGTCACTACTTCAAAATCTTAACATATATGTTCAGTATTTATGTTACTTCTCCTCTGTTTCTTACTATGGACTGATTACGTAGAACTGTTTCTGCCAGTGACTTAAATAAAACTATCCAGATTAAAAGGTGCTGATAATATTTTTTCCATGCTAGATAAAAAGTGGACGTTTACATGTGCAGGATATAAATAACTGCTGAATATAAATATAATAACATTTTTCACAGAAATATAAAGTCAAGTTAAAATAACTTTGGCTTAAAATCACAAATTAAAAGGTCTAGTCCTTCATAAATAAATCTGTAATATTCTATTTCCACCACCAACATTCAAACCCTCAAGCAGAGGTTTAAAAACTGAAATTTGAAAATTCCTCAGATTTAATGAATCTATTACATTTACATATAAACATAAACATTTTGAAATGCTGAGAACCTGACGTTGCTCTACATCTTAAAGGTGTGTAATGCAACTTTCTATGACCCCTCATACAATAATATAGCAATCATTGCTAATACACCACATTACTGAAATAAGTAAAACCAGTACAAATTTCAAAGTAGTTCACCTTCATTTGCATTGGTTTCCTTCCATTCTAGAGTTCCAAAAATAAACAATAAGCATAAGCCGAACAGACATTTGACACGAAGAATGCCGTCTTGTGGGTTGTATAATGTTGTGCATTGAATATTCATCGCCCTGATGGCGGAGGCAGCAAGGACCTCTGAAACTTTGTTAAACTTCTACCAGACTACACGGTGCAACAACCCAGAAGACAGCAATCTTCATACTCACTGCCGTGAAAACTTCAAATCCTACACATATTACAGGCTGATCCCGTACTACCTAATGGATTTGAGGCATTCTTCATGTTCCGCTTCTGCATATCCATCATATTATTACAAGGCAACTAGTCTCCTTCACCTACCACACCATTCTGTACATGTGTATGTATTTACAAATTTAGTAATTTTCTCAATGTTACTTCATTTCATTCACTAAAGCAGTGGTATTCAACCTTTTTTTTTTCGCGTACCCCCAGATATAATTTCTCTTCAACTTTGTACCCCCAAAGTTGTTGGTGTATAATTCAAGTTATGCATAGTATATAATCTACATCTAAAATAAATTACATTACTGATTATTCAGTGTTTATCATAAAATAATATGTTTTTTTAAATTTCACGTACCCCCTAAGATGTCTTCGCGTACCCCAGGTTGAATACCACTGCACTGAAGAATCGAGTAGTTCATATATTACCAATAAAAAAATGTAGCAATAAAGTACAGACCAGAAATTTGATGACAAATGCATGAAAACAGTCACAATCAAGAGTGAATCAAGAATAAAGTATACAGACTTCACCTTATCCAGGAACACGTCATCTCTACAACGTAACATCTTGCTGCTCCTTCACACTTTTCTCATGTTACCAAAATTAAAATTAATCTCGGGAAGTAAAAATATAGGATGGCAGGATGAATACGAGGGTAAGCCACGCACTGTGCTGAACAAGTGAGGAAATCTCTGGCACGTTTATTTTTTAAGGGATTGTTTGTTAGTGGTCAAGATTAATATATTGGATACTGGGAACAACCCGTTCTTCAAGTGCCTGAGCACTGTGGGTCCCAACTTTTCGTTGGCTTGATCTATAGACATTTGGTAGGACTCCCTGGACAAGGGATCGGCCCATCACAAGGCCTCTACCTGTACACAGGACAGCACAACACAGAAAAACGCGGACAAACACCCATGGCTTGAGTGGGATTCGAACCCACGGTCCCAGCGACCAAGCAGCACGAGGCCGACGCCTCAGACCGCGCGGCCACTGCGGACCCCTCAAGATTAATATTAAGGGACTAATACAGATTTATAGATGCAGTATCTAAAATTAACTAAAAATGAGATTTCATTTTTCATGGTATTTCTCTTCTGGAATTCAATTTAGTTTCCACAGCCAGAAATTAACTGTTTTATGTAAAACGGAGATAAGCACAGCTCATCAGCAAGGAATTATGCAATAATTCCATCTAATATATGAACTAGGTGGAAAAGAATGGTTTTTTCGCAATTATGACACTTGTCATAGCACACATTTTTTAAATTTATCTTATTTGAACATTTGTACCATTCAATACTAAAAATTTTAATAAAAATATAATGGCAAATAGGGTAAGACCAGAACAGTAATACCCTGTTTAACACAGGCCTGTCAACACTGATTCAACAAAACACAATTTGCTTTTCTACCCTGTTTAACACAGGCCTGTCAACATTGATTCAACAAAACATAATTTGCTTTTGGACCAATTTTCCTAGGACATGATTATAAATAGCTACTGCAAGATGTTAGCAATGATTCCAGTTTTTACAGTCACAAGTATTAAGATGGCTGCCATCTGGGTTGTGCCGTGTATTTTTGTAGAAATTTATCAACATTTTAGAAGTGCCTGCTGCCTTCATCACCACGGCAATGGAGTCAACCAGCGACTCTGAAACACAGACATCCAGCCACAAAAATCTTGGGACAAGAGTGTTTACTCTGTTCAGTAGAATGAGGGAAGCGGATGGCATGCTCTGGCTGAACTTGACTTTTATCACCAGACGCAAAAATGTTACGAGACTTCCAAACCTCTGTAATTACATATCATTGGTGATTTTCTCAACAAAGTAGAGAACAGTGCACAACAAAAAGGTAGAAGAATGACAACTTGAAGGAAACTAGTTGCAGATTATAATTTTCACACCAATATCAAACAAGATGTACGAGTAGAGCTGAAGTGTTTACCAGAATAAGGTTCTGAAATGAGGTATAATTTTGGGGGGGGGATTAACTGCCTTGATTTCAAAATTCACAAGCTGTTGTGAAAAGGGGACTATACTGCCACATAAAACAATCATTGGTACAGCAAACTGATATTCAAAAGGCAAGAATTAATTTTCTTAGTAAATAAATGCATTCCCAGGATTTGATGTTACTGTTCAGAATAATAATATAAAAAAATGAGGTACAAAGGTAGAGAACTCACGGATTACAACCAAAGCCATGCACACAAACAAAACAGAAATTAACGTACATTACTGTGCATGTCTAAGGAACATCCGACTGTTCCCTACCTCCACTTAATTCCACTTTACTCCTTTTCTCCTTTACTGTTGATTATGCACCTACTCACACTACTGACTATTGTCCTCCGTCAGGTCCACATGCGATTCAGCATGTCTGTTGAGGAGTTTCTTTTTTGAGAAGCCTTTGCCACAAGTTACACATTCATAATTACACTTGCTTCTTTTCCGCTTGTCACGTTTCGCAGGGATCTTTTTCACCACATCCTTGGTTTCTTGTATTTCTGCAGATATACCTTCCCCACTTGTTTTAGAACTCAACTCTTTCTGTCCCAATTGTGAGGTAACATCATTACTACCTTCACATTTATGAGTCTGAAAATATTCATGTCGGCTGAAAGAATTGTTGCACGCCGAGCAGTGAAATGGACGCGCAATTTCATTAGGACCATGCAGCTTCATGTGACGTACGAGGTGGTACCGACGTCCGAATGTCTTTCCGCAGATGATGCACCAATACTGTCCATTGTTTAGCAAGTATCTTTCAAATTCCTGTTTCTCCTGCGCAGATGCTCTGCGTCTACCAGACAGTACAAGGCTTAATGGTTTATCGGAGTGGAACCGCTTAAAATGCCTAACTAAATGACTACGTCGAGTGAAAGCTTTATCTGAACAAAACTGACAATGATGAGGCTTACTCACAATTTCACCACAACCAAGATCAGCTTCTGCTGAAGTTGAGGGCCCCGTCTGATCAACGCTGTCCTGCAAGGAGGACTGCAGAGACATGTCATCATCCTGACCATTCATTATTGTTTGTTCTGCAGCTTTAACAAAAGGCTCCATCTTCATACCATCACATGAAGATGAAGGTTCAACCTTAAGCGGAATAGTAGATATACTCAATCCCGGTAGCTTTGAATGTGGAATCAATCCCTCAAGTGGTTCTGTTTTCACTACTGTGCCCCCACTAGATGTGGCACGATTAGTTAATACTGGTGATACTGACACATCAGTGCCAGGAATCACTCCTCTAGCAGACCCAAACAAAAAGTCTCTCGTATGTATCTTCTGGTGACGAACAAGATGTTCTTTACGAGTAAAATTTTTGGAGCAAATATTGCAGTTGTAAGGTTTAAGCTCATCTCGAATTTCTGGCGTAGTGAGATGGGTTCGGAGTTGATGCCGCAAGAGATGTTCCTTCCTGGCAAATCCCTGCCCACATAAATCACACACGAAGGGCCTGGTCATGTTAGAAGAAGAGTCATCATCTTGCACAACAGTGGAATTTGAAGGAGTGCCAAGATTACCAGAGACCTCTGATGCAGGCAATTCACCATTACTGCTTTGAATGGAGATATCTGGGGTGCTAGAAATGTCACCAGGGAAATAACATAAGGCATTTAAGTGGCAAAGTCGATGTCTGGACAGATGTTCCTTCCGTGTGAATGGTTTATAACAGATGTCACAATTGTAAGGTCTTCCTCCAGAATGTGATATCATATGGCGAGACAGGTGCTCTTTCCGGTTAAAGCCCTTCTGACACAATGGGCATGAAAACAATTTTCTGTCCATGTGAGTACGCTGATGGCGTTTCAATGAACTGCGCCTCGGAAATACTTTACAGCAAATGTGGCAGCTGAAAAACTTCACATTCAAGTGGGAATTGTTGGTGGTGCTAGCAGTGTGATCGTCATAATCAGATGATTTACTGTTTGAAAGATCTGCTGAGTTCTCATCACCTTCATACAGGTCCATGAACTCTGAACCTTCTCGCTCAAAACCTACAACAGAAATAAATTAAATAGATAGCAGCGCAGGATTCAAAAGGGATTTCAATACACAACTTATATCAACACATAATCTGAGTAAGATTTCAGGTTCTCACAGGGGCTGTTGCATCAGAAATTTACTGACATTTCAGAGGTTCTTGCTGCCTCCATCATCAGGGTAATCTTTACATATCGCCCTGATGATGGAGGCAGCAAGTACCTCTGAACTGTCATTAAATTTCTACCAGACAATGTGGCATGCAACAACCCAGAATACAACCATCTTAATACATAATCTAGAGTTTTTATCACTGAATGAAAGTCAGAATATCGAAATGAAGCTGATTATCAGAATAGCCATCCATGTGTTGAAGGATGTGGCTTCATGGCCTGTGTCCAGTGTCACTAGCTGGTCTCCAGAGTTTCTCTATTACAAATTTATTTGTGCCAGATATTTAAAAGCTGTTTTTACACTGAGATAAGTGTTTCGAACTGTATCACACAGTCAAATGTTTCTGAAGAAATTGTAAATAGCTGTAGCTGTATCTGTAAAAAAGTACATAAGAGCTGGTGCCAGTACCGACATATGACGCGTTTAAATATGCCAACTTTCTACTGCATAGACATATTCTGAATTATATAAAATGGTCAAGAATTCCCTTCTTAACTTTATAACCAAAAATAAAACTTGCTTTTCAAAATATGTGAACCCTAAAATAATTGTGATAATTACAAGAAAGCAATAATAAATTTGTGGGCAAAGCGTAATCGACGTCAGTGAGAAATGAACGCAGGTTCCTCTTGCAAGCGAAAATTCACATTCAAAACTTTGCATCGTGTTATTACACAGTTTCCTCCGGTAAACAGAGTGCCTACAAATTAAAACTCCAATTTCATAACTTACCTTCTAGTTTCAGTCATTTCAAACAGTTGTAAACATATTTTACAATAATGCCAATTTTTAAAGAAATACTCTGCTCAGGACACAGAAAAATAGTTACTTTAAAAGGGGTAAATTTGTGGTTCTGCACTGACAACACCCTTAACTGCAGTGAGTACTGTGGCTGTAATGCAATACGCCACTTTACTGTATGTTGCAAATTGGTACCTCAAACGCAGTAGTCTATTCTAACCTTTGATGCAACGTAGAAAGCCACATCTCATAACCCACTAAACATATTTAAATAAACATATACAAGACAACTAGGGTAGAGAAAGAGCCCTCACCTTGATTAATCCTAAAACACCTCTTGCATAGAGAGCAGGGGAAAGCGCCTTTCGAGATGATATATCGCCTGTGAGTAACACTGAACATAACCTTACTGTTTCCATTCTGTTTTGAAGAGTCTGAATTTTCCTTTCCCGGTGACAAAATCACTTTCTCATACACATCCCACATCGGCGGCAATATCTCGCGCTTCCGTCGTTGTGCCAACAAAATGTCTTTGTCTTGTTCTAGTGGACTTGCAGCACTGTGATTTGCATGGAACTCTATCTGTCCACTTGCTACCAATCTTGATGATGATCTGAAAAATCATCGATGAAGTAGCTCAGATAATAATGATGATTGGAACAGGTATAATACAATAAAATCTCTATAGATCTTTATAATAAAGCCTGAAAAGCATCTCAATGTGATAAGGTTTCCTATATATATTTAACAGCTACCCAGTTACGATCTTTATCAGAAAACTGGTGATTAAAAAATGTTTAATAATTTTTCCGAGTCACTTCACGCAGACCACAACTCTCTCCCAATTGCTTATCCCACCATTCGTGATATTTTTCCCCATCTCTTTCAAATTTTAAATGTCATCTGAATTTTGAACATTACAAATACACTATTCATCAAATATGTGATATCATACTTAGCCATAAGACAGTGGACTATACTCAAAGGCAATTTTGTCTATTAAAATTCTCAAAATATCATACCTGCTGTGATTGTCAAAATAGCTGCTGTCCACCGTAAATGTATCTTCCTTCATCAAGACATAGTCTTCGAGAGTTGGGTGACCGACGCGGGACCAATGGGATGCTACTTCTGTATTTGATTTATTGTTCAAAGTGGGTACCAGGTTGTTGGTTGTCTTAGGAATGACAGGTGTGATAACCAGATCACCAAGCCCTTTCAAAAAGGAGAACATTAAACTCTTATAGTTTAAAAATTTCCTTAATTTCTTGCTTGACTATGTAGATATATTGAAAATAAATACCAACGCAAAATTAAATTTCATGAAAATTTGTAACACATACATAGTTATCATTCTACAATATAATAAACAATTATATCACGTCACAAAACTAATTCTTCAGAACCTTCGCACCATGTAACCTCACAACTATTAAACCCAATTCAAGGCTCAGGTAAGAGTAAACAACGGAAACATTTAAAAAAAACGTAGAAGTCCAATGAATTCAATGATAAAGCTGAGCAGAGATTGAGGGTACATCAGCAAGTTGCTAAGGAGAATATTTTGACCCAAAAGGAAGCAAAAAGGGGCAGCAGAAAACTGCATAATGAGGATTTCTGTAATTTGCATGTACCATGCGCAATACTAACCTGGCTGAAAAGATTAAGTTTCCATAAGAATCTATTTTTCTAGAATTATTTGCAATATTTCAGAAATGTGTAAACATTCTCACAAGTAATTAATTAAATGTATCAGAGGAAGTCTTACAGTTTCATTTCCTTTTGAATTTCAGTTTTGTACAGGAAACATAATTTACATTGTAATATTTGAGGTTTTCACAGCGATTCATCGCCCCGATGACGGAGGCAGTATGATCTCTGAAACGTTGGTTAACATCGACCAGACTACATAGCGCAACAACCCAGAAGACAGAAATCTTCATAATTTACATTGTCCTATTCATACTCCAGCTCAAACTTTTGATTTGGAATTGTCATATTCTTCATAACCATAAGAATTCTGAAGTACAAAAGTTTCAGAAATATTGATTTAAAATATCTCAGAGTCCACTAATTTACTATCGCAGCCTCTCCTTCAGGGACTGGGGAAAGCCATGAAAAGAGTCATCAGAATGATCGATCTATGATAAAAATTTGATCCCTGAACCTCCCAACATTTTTACAAGTTTCCATTTCAAACCTACGACAATAAATAATCTTAGGAAAATAAA